CGGAGGGGAGCTTTCTGCCGACGGCAGATCCGCTGCGGGCAGTTCGGGGCCGGGGAGCGCAGCCCTGGCACCCGTGCTGCCGGTTGAACCCCGGTCCTCACGTTTCAGAGCCAGGCCAGCACTTCTCTCCGGAGTGTTGGCGACTGCTTTTTGCTGCACCAAAATCACCGTTTACACGATAGAACTCGAAAATAAATGACGTGACGTCGAGTCCGTTATTACGAGAGAAGCGGAGCGTTGCGAAGAAAACACTCTTGAAAGGTAGTTACCTCTGGGTTTAGCTTTTGCTCCCACCCTGTGTCTCGTGGCTCGGCCGCAGCGAACCCAGGGATGTCCTGCAGTTCAGGAGCATCCACGAGGATCCCAAAGCCTTGGAGAAACGCAGCGGCCGCCGCTCGCTCCCTTCGCCCGGGGACCGCGCGCGCCTGCTTCGGGGCTGGGACGAGGCAGCCGCTTACCAGCATTCGTTCAGCAAAGCCATGCAATAGGTTAGGACAGGAAGCGAAGACAGTTCTCAGTCGGTTTCTGCGCATAGCACTGTGAATCAGAGCTCACTCCGCGGGAACCTCCGCGCCGGGGAGGTTTCGGAAAGCGGGGCACGATGTCTCCCGCGCTTTCGGAGGGGTTCGTGCTCGGTGGAATCAAGCGCCTGGGCCTTCCCCGGCAGGGGCGGCGAGGCGGCCTGTTTGCTCTTTCATTTTTTGTTTTACCTCATTTTTTGGTTTTGATACTTGAAGAAGAGTCGGTGGTTGACATTGTACAGTGATGCCCTGGACTGGAGAGTGGATGCACTTTATCGTAACTTGTATACTGATAGTGGGGTCCCATCCTGCCTGCGCCAAGCCCGCGGCACAGATTCCCTGGTGTCAGCACCGGCGGGAGCAGAGCCAGGATGGGCTGGTTCTTCCAAAAAAAACCTTTCTAGCACGTTAGGGAGAAATCTCTGTATTTTATTGTGGCTTTTCACATACTGTAGAAACTCAAAGTCACCTTCTGCTGTCAGCTGACCTGGTGGAAAATTCAGCTGTGGTTGTGCTGGGCTGACTTCAGTTCTGGCCGTGCCGTGACGGCTGGAGACGGTGGAGGTCGGGCAGCTCCTGTCTTTACTCCCGCGTAACTCGCCCGTTTCAATGGGGTTACTCTGCTGGAATCTGAAGTGGTTTCAGCCCTGGCAGGCTGCGGCGTTACCGCTGGATCCACTCCAGCATCGCTTCCGAGCTGCTAATGGAGCAAATTGAAAGTCACCCCCGGTAAAGTGACACTAATGTAAAACCTGGAGTGGTTCCACTGGTCTCTGAGCAGGGCTTAACAAAATGAAGTCACCCCTCCGACGGCAGCACCGGTTTGCCGGGCAGCTGATGGCAGAACGTGTTTTCTGGTCTTGCGATGATGCTTTTGAAACAACTCGCAGAGAAACGGAGTGGTTTCGTGGCTGCGGATCTTCCCTCGGCTCCCGGGAGCTGGGCCGGAGAGACGTGGTCGCGGGCTGCTTTGCTCGTCTGTGAAAACATCAGCACTTTTTTTTTTCCCTTTTTCCTTATGAATTCTGTTCAAGATTATCATAAAAAAAGGGGAAAAAAAAAAACAACGAACCCAGGGGCCAGATCCTGTTTTGCAATTGAGGATTTGCTCCGGGGTTCAAAGCAGCGTTAAGCAAACATGAAAGGCAGCGGGCATGAGCGCCGAAGAACCCCAGAGCAGCAGGTCTGTTGGAGCCGTGGCCGCCGCAGAGCCCGTTCTCGCTGCTGTGCAGCCGAGCCGACTGATCCCAGCCCCGGGCGGCCCGG